TGTGGTCAATGACATGAGACAAAGTATATGTGAAGTGTTGTATGGAAAGTGAATTTGCTCTGTAAATCTTCACCCAAATCACAATTAAAATATATATATATATATAAAGAGTAACTTAGTACTCTATTTTTAGCATCCTATTATTGGTACTTGGAAACCTAAAGGAGGTCACTATCAGTCAAATTCGACTTGATGACTGTGAGTTTGGTTTTTTTTTTTTTTGGTATTATTGTTACTATATTTTACTCTGGGATTATTACTGTATGAATACCATGTTGTTGTCGTTGTTATGTTCTGTCAAGTCAGACCCGACTCATAGCGACCTCTGCTTGGGTTTCCGAGGCAGTATCACTATGGAAGTAGATTGCCCCATCTTCCTTCCAAGGAGTGGCTGGTGGGTTTGAACCGCCAGCTTTCTGGTCAGCAGTCAAGTGCTTTAGGCACTACGCTACCAGAGCTCCCTATGAATACCATAGTCCAGAAAAACAAGAAAGTGATGAGTGGTATACAAACCGTATTGCAAGAGGTTGACAATAAGAGAAGACAAAGCAGAGACATTGTATCCCTCAAATACTTGCAGGCTCTATGAGAAGAGTCAAGGGGCTCTGGTGACACAGTGGTTACAGCACTTGGCTGCTAACTAGAAGGTTGGCGGTTTGTACTCACCAGCTGCTCTATGGGAGAAAGATAAGGCAATCTGCTTTCTTAAAGATTCACAGCCTTGGAAACCCTATGGGACAGCTCTACTCTCTCCTGTAGGGTTGCTATGAGTTGGAATTGACTCAGCAGCAGTGGGTGTGAGAAGAGGGTATAAGCTTGTTCTCTGTTGCTCATTACAAGTTGGCTTATTTCTGGTAAGTACAAGCAAGACTGTTGGTGAACTATTCTAGCTGCAGTTGTGTGCCCACCTGTTTGAGCATCATGAGATCTGAGACTGTCTATCTTGTGCTTTGTCCACCTCTAAATACCTATTACTCTGCCTGGTACACAGAGGGTGCCTCACGTGTATTTGTTGAATGAATAATGGAAAGAAGAATTCAACGTTTGGTAAGCTAGAGTTGAGGGGGCCCCATATTCTTTCTTCTTGTAGTCCTAGAGATGTATGGATATTCGTATGTCATTTGTGAGGATAACCTATGTACTAAAATAACGTTAACATTTTAAATTCAGTTTTTGTGTATCTTAAGGACTCTGAGGGTGGAATAAAGTACCTGAGAAAAGATGTGGGAGGCAGCATGTTTTCTTTGGTCATGTTTCTAACTGCTATAAGTTAATCAAACCACTTTTCTTAAGAGATTTTTAAGAGACTATTTTAGGATTTATTTGAAATTTCTCAAGTATGCTTATTCAAACATTACCCATTCCAGCTCAACAGCTATCATTTCCATGAGGCCTTCCCCGTAATTCTGACCCATACAAAGCCCTGTCTTTTAAACTTAAAAGGCAGTTCTGCCAAGTTTTGCATTTAATTCTTCCCTAATTACTTTATGAGTCTTTTCAGCTCGATGATAAGCATTTGAAGGATAAAAAGTTTATTTTGTATTTTTCTTGTATTCTTTCAGACATGTCCAAAAAGCAAAACAAAATCCATTGTTGTTAAGTCTCACTCATGTTGTTGTTGTTGTTATGTGCCGTCGAGTCGGA